GCATATACCGCCACCCACACGATTTTCTCTGTCTTTACGATATATTGTATATCTATTTATATTAAAGGAGGAGTCAGGAATTGTGGGTTTGAGCCAGGATTCGGCAATACAGATAATGTCCGGTTTAAGAAGTTGCACTGTGCATACAAATTCGTCAAACTTAGCGGAAAGTGAATCTAAATTAGTATATAGAAATAGCCAATCATTAAATTTGTTGGTAGAAAAATTATGAACGAAATTTCGTGATTCTGGGAGTGCCATTGATGTATTTAATAGTTAAATTAAATCATGTTCACCGTTATTTTTGCGAGTTTCTAGCTCACTTCGGAGTTCTTTTAAACGTACTTGTTGGATGGGCGTCTTGTCGTCAATTATTGAGAATTTTTCCGTGGCTTTGTTTTCCAGAAGTTTGGCTTTATTTCTCAGAATATCTTTAACGTGGTATTCCGAACCCATCACCACCTTTATCATTCGGGGAAATCGTTGGTTTGCTTTGCCGACTCTGTGGAAGGTGATTTGCTTTTCCTGGCAGCCAACAGTATCCAAAACAAGCTTCACCTTATTCGCGTCATCATCTTTTCTGCGTTGTACATCCCCAGAGGAAGATTCTGTTACGCCTCTAATTAGAATATTTTTAGCGCGTGTTATACGATCTACAGCTTCGTTAGCGATATTATCCGTGAATTCAGTAGACTTAAATAAATTAATCTGGCTGAGCTTATCGTTTAACTCAGTTATTTTATTATCAAAATCATCAATTTTCACACGAATTTCCATTTTAAAATCTAGCAGATCTTTTATTTCTGAAATATTAGAAATATTGGAGCTGCAAGAGTTACAGAGTATGTTCAGTCCTCGAATTTTCTGTCGAGTGACGCGGTCGTCCGATGAAAGGTCGGTGCATGTGATATGTATTTGACGCTTACATCCATCGCACTGGAGATTGCGGTCAGCTGTCGCTATGGTTTTCGAGCAGTTCGAACAAAAAGAGGTGGACGGCATTGTCCGGTTTTTTGTGTATGTAATTAGTATTTGGTTTTATATTAATATATTGTGGAATGATACTCACAGTAATTATTCGCTGTAACTGCACTTTTTACACAAAATTATTACAAAAACTACTGACTATTGATATATGGAACAATCATACAAAATTTCTTTGCGAAATAATTATTTTCTACAGAATAATCGTGAAAATCAATACGAGCACAAAATTTTACGTGTGTCGTCAACCAACTAGCAGGTTGTATCTGAAATTGAAGGTATTTTAGAGTACTTTCATAATCTATACAGAAAGTATCCATTACAACACTTACTATAGGCAAAAAATGAAAACAAAAACCCAAAAAATACGTATTTTGCACTTACAAACGTTCATAAACAATAACCAAAAATTTTTTGTTGAATGAACTGGGGGATTGCTCCTGAGGTTGCCCTTTATAACTTAGGCCATATTACATAAATTCCTGGATGAGAGATTACTTTTCCCCTCACAGCCTGGGATATAGGTCTACTATTGCAGAGGCCAAGAGTTAAGAGATAATTTTCGTTACTTTGGAGGTCTTTGCTTTATTATGGTCTGAAAATATTTTATGCCTCAATGTCTTTTCTCTCAACATCATGTGCTGCAGAATTGGGCAAACAACAATAATGCAACCGAAGTACAGTATTATTCCACACTCGCTTATATTTTACTGTAGAGGCCTGGATACACGTTGTAAGGACTGCTCTGTAATACTGCCCTGCTTAGTAAAAACGTCCGATCTACAATTTTCGTTTTTTCTTAATAAAGTTATATTCCACTACTATTAGATATTTATCATCTTATTACTTAGTCAGAATTCTGTCACCTCAAATCGTACAAAATCATAAATTTGTTTGTCCTTTCTACAACTAACAGCTGTTGTGCTTAGAATAAACATCCTATATGCCAATTACTTAGTTAAAACGTCTCGTCTGTATCAAATTGTGTCGATAGGACTTTTTAGTTAAGTAAGTCGTATTGAAATCATTGAACTGGTGAAACTAATGTTAATCTAGCACATATACGAAATATGACTAGGGGAATTACAACTGTAAGTTATGTGAATACCCGATCGTTTCTCATATAGATATTTGAATAATTAGATGTGATAATTTTTGTTAATTTCATTTGTATTTTGTGAGGCTTGCAAGCAGGCTTATTTGGTAATACTAGCAAAATAAATAACTACTTACTCTTTAATTCGCTGTGGCAAGTAAAAATACATATAAATAATAACCAAGTAGTTAGTAAATGTTTGTTTTTCTTTAGGAAAATGGACAGAGGAAAAAAATTAGTTGCATTAGCATTGCAGAATAAACAGTTTCGAGAAGAAATACGTATTATTGAGGACAAGAAAAAGAAAAAACGACAATTTGCTGATGCAGAAGTTGAATTTAATGCAACAGAATCTTCTCCAGGTGCAGAAACAACACTCAACCCAGATGAGGATAAAATTTTATCAACTAACAAATACTTTTCCAATAATATTAACGAAGATGATGTGAACATCGATGTTGCAGAAGAAACTTTGCCTTTTATTCAGCAGCTACTTGATAATATCGTGGACAACGCAATACATACTGTTGAGCTGAAATATGATAAAATTTATACAAAGAAAGGTACAATCAGAAAACGCAAGAAGTGTGATTTATCACCAGCTACTAGAAAAAAGCAAAAAACAGTTTCTTTTAAGCAAAAGCATGTCATTAAACCACCATGTAATCCAGAACAGTGCAAGTTAAAGTGTGCATCAAAAATTAATGCCAAGAGACAGCAAGTTTTTAATCAGCTAGTGTGGGAAATTAATGCAGAAGCCAAAAATATATTTATATATGGTTGTATAAAGCGCTTCGATATAAAACGAAGAACAGCTGGAACAAACACTTGTCGCAAAAATACGTTTAAGTATTACCTGAAAAATGTTAATTAGTGATGAAGTTATTGTTCGCAAAACTTTTCTCCTTTCTACCCTGAGATTTCGAAACACTCCAGCAGCTACGAACATAATACCTATTCCTGATAAAAGAGAACGTCATCCATGTAAATGGAAAATTGTATACCGATCTTATTAAACAACACGTAGTTATTCAATCCGACAATAGCACATTATCGCCGAGAACATGCACCAAATAGGCTGTATTTGACTAATTTCTATCACACAAATGCACAAGCACTTCAAGGAAATGTATCCAGATGTGAAAGTCAGTTATGAAGTTTATCGTAAAAATGTTAGTGATATGAATATATGATATGCAAAGCTGGGCCATGAAGAGTGTTTCGAATTCGAAACATACAACCTACATAAATACGAGACAAAACATAATGAAATTAATGAAAATGCAGAGTGTGACTGCTGTCAAACATGGAAGAAGCATAAAATTTTATATGATTCAGCACGGAAAGAATATCCAAATGATGCGACTGTATCCACAACCTCTCACGAAATGTATAATTCTGTTGATTTACAAAAAGTGATCATATTACTTCGGGCAGAGATGTTCAAAGAGGTGATATTTGTTCCTCGCATTATTGCATACAACGAAAGTTTTTCGGTATTTCATCGAATAAACAAAAACCAACAGCAGTTATTTGGCATGAGGGCATATCAGGCAGAATTATTTTACACCACAGAGATGAACAAAATATAACATTCTGGTTAGAGTTAGATAACTGTGCATTTCAAAACAAAAACTGGGTACTTTTTTCCTTTTTAAGATATATTGTAAATAGTCCTGAAGTTCAGTTACAAAATTTTTCGAACCTGGACACACTTTTATGGCAGCTGATAGTTTTCACCTTAAGTAAAAACCTTAAATACAAAAGTAAATTTTTCAGACGATTTTATAAATCTTAATTTCCTAATGGCAAAATCTTACAAAGCAGACATACCCAAACCCAACATGCATAATAAGGCTCGAGGGATTGACATAACAGAAAACAAATATTGCTAAATAAGCTCCGCCCAATATTACCTAATAGGATTATGTTTTGGGAAAATATGCCAGTGTTAGAATCCGTTGTTGAAAATAATTTGTAATTTGATTTAATTTTTTTCAAGATTTTTTTAATGTAATTAATTTTGTGGGAATATAAAATATGTAACAGTTTTGTCTTTTTTTAATAAACTTATTTAATGAGTAAAATTTTAATTGTCATTCACATTTAAACTAAAAAAGTCCTATCTGAAAAATTAATAATTCTAAATAACCTATACATTATTAATACTTAGTTAAAAACATCGAGCAAAAAGACAAAAGAGGGAATGTAAAGGTGGTGAGGGCAAAAATATTGTTAGACAGGAAATGCGATCTTTAGAGGCCACATTAAACAAGGAAAGAGAGTCTATCTCCTTGTTTTACATCAAATTTAGTTGGGTTATGTTATTGTTTGTCCCAAATGTCACATGAAATCTTATTTATATTGAAGTTTTTTAACAATTGTGTCGCATTTTAGACTATTACCGTTAATAATTAATTAAAACTTTCTCGTCTAAAACACATTCTGAAAAATATTATATACCTGTATAAGTGTCGCACAATTTAAATTTGGCGCATTCGCATTTCCGGATATGTCCGCCATCAGAGGCCACTTTTTTGGTCTCCTTTTCATAACGATTAGATTCCCTCTTTTGTCTTTTTGCTCGATGGTTAAAAAGCATGATACTATAACAACATGTTTTGTTATAGTATCATGGTGAAAAAGTCCTATCTATCAAATGTCAAACTTAAGGTAGTTTTTGTTAGTAGCAGGTAAATGAAAATAAACTTGAATCCTAATTAACTACTTATGACAACTGTCTGGTTTTTAAAATGAGGATGACACGGTATTAACTACAAATATTGCTTTTTTTCAAAAGTCTAAAATTGTCAGTTCGGACGTTTTTACTTAGCAGGGCAGAATAACCATGCCATTATTGGATCATAAATCCCGGATTGTAGGTGTAATTATTGGGTTCATAATGAAAAATACAAATTTTAAAATGAGATTATTTATTAATTAAAAAATATATATAAATTTAAAATTAGTTTGGTTATTACGATTACGTATCTAATGATTAGTGAAAAAATAAATGAAACATCCTGATTAGTTATTTGCACATTTTACTATATAGGATTTTCTTTACCAAACAAATTAACAAATACAAATACAAAAATAAAATATATATTTAAAAGTATTTAGCCTTTGATGATTCTGATTCTTAAGTTAATATTATCCGAATAAAAACCATTAATTTGTTCTAGATAAATTTTAACACATTTGCCATCTTGAAAGCGTTCATCCAGAGATGTAAGGGCTGAAACCAAACCCACATTAAAGCATTTTCTCTTTAACCCGCCTAAGTCAATTACATCAGCCTCAAATCTATACTTTTTAGCATCTGTGGATCGTCCAATAATCTGGACAGACAAATAAAGCTTTTGCTTGTCATAATTATAATCAAATTGGAAAATCTTCTTCTCGTATTTTATTATATAAGTCTTCCTTGTTTGGTCATTAAAAGGTATAGAGATTTGATCGGATTTTAAGACGAATTCATTATGATTATTATCGATATGGTCAAATAATTTTGAATGACTGCCTTCCCAGTCACAATCGGTGGTGCCTTTTAGCGGACAAATGAATGGTCCAAATTCGCAGCAAACTTCGTGACCTCGTATTTCAGTTGAAATACAGGAATACGTACAGCCAGCTTTATGATACTTACAAGGATAAGTTAACAACTCTATCATTTTTTCTAAAGTAAAGTTCCGAGTTTCATGAATAGCTACTCGACAAAGAGCACATATGGTATTAATTTTTATCTTACATTTTTCACAATAACTATGGCCGTTAGCGCATTGGTATATAGGCGGAAGCATAAAATCTAAACAAACAGGACACTCCATATTCGCAAGAAGTGCCCAGATTATATTTGGATTTTGTCTAGCATCAGCCTGAAACAATAGAAAAGAATATATGAAAACATATTAATCACATCATACGTATCAATCAAGAGTGCAACTTTTGTATTAACTTTAACTCTTGTAACTTTATTAAACTCTTTTGTTAATGTATCTCCTTAACTACAGTATCTCCCTTAACTTTTTCTAGCTAAAACTGTATTCTAATTATATTGTTACGAACATGCATTCAGCGTGGCCCGTGTAACGGTTGCATCTCGAAGCAGCCTCTCCGGCATCAAGAACTCTTGGCGATGTATCGATCGCTTTTTGACGCATTTGTCAAACAACGAATTACAGGTGGGACTACCCCAGAAGTGTTGAGAATAATACTTTTTGGTATATATATGTAACGGTGTTATGAGTTAAGTTTAGTTGATAAGAGAGTACCGAACTGTAAACTTATAAATATATATATATATATATATATATATATATATATAATATATATATATATATATATATATATATATATATATATATATATATATATTTATATAAATTCGAACCGCTCGTTTTATTTAAAAACGCTACAGTTGGTGTCCGGTGTGAGATTCCAAAATAAATTCAGCAGTGATTTTTGAAAAAGACTTTTCAAAAGTATTGTTCGTCGAGAACATCCGCGTAGTTCGGTAGTGAACTTTGTACGAAAGAACATTTTAAAAAAGTACATGTGTGCCTGACCAAAGATGCTGCTAGTAGAACTTTCAGTAAAACAGTTGCGTGAGCAACTAGAAGAACGCGATGAAGCAATCAACAGAAGCAATTTTAATGAAAATAAAAAATGTGTCGCAAATAGTAAATAGTAAATTTGAAAACGCCTCGCAAATGATTGAAGAATCTTCTAAAAAAACTGATGATAAATTCGAGAACGTTTCCAAGAAACGTCTCAAATGATTGAAGCAACTTCTCAAATTATTAAAGAACAGCTAGACAAAACGACGAGAAATTCGAAAATATGTCTAGAAGATTCGACGAAGTATGTATTCAGAACAAAGAGAAATTTGAGGAAGTTTCTAAAACTTTCGATAAAGTAGAAGAGAAGATCAAACAATTAAAGAGCATGATAACCAATACAAAACTGCTACCACCAGTTAATACAGTAGCCTTAGATCCGGTAGTAAAAGAAGAATCACTTCGAGACGAAACGACACATCATATGCGATTCAAATTGCCACCATTTGATGGGAAGTCTTCTTGGTCCATATAACTTGAATTTGAATGCGAATGACAATTTGAAAAGAATGGAATAACCACATAAGCAGAATGCAGGAGACCCGTGTCGTCGAAATAGTAAGAGATGTCAGCAATCGGCAGAACTATCGGACCACCGCGCAAAAGATGGAATGACAACCTTCCACAAAGGCATTAATCCGCCAATGAACAAGCAGAAGTGCTTATAAACTGGAAGAAGAAGAACACAAACGATCTAAAACGTTTAAAACTGCTTCTCTTCAATTACATAAGTATGTTTTTTAAAATACAAAACTTCATTCAATACAGTCTTGTTGAGACATGGAAATTCATTTTATGTAACAATAAAACACTGAAAACGTTGTTTTCAAACTTACACAAAACTTATTTTAAACTCTGATCATTAAAGCTGTTTCGGCTGATTGCCTTTCTTAAATGATCTATTTTTGGCATGCGTTTTCACTTTATGGTCTTTAATGAAATGGGTTGAGGGGGAGAGAACTGTTTGTCTCAAGTTGGTCATTCAGAATTATATCTGTGTTTTTTAATTTGTTGATTTCCATAGATTCTAACAAATATAGCTTAAGGCCTTTATTTTGAATGTGAAGAATTTTAAATTCGTTTAAAAACAGTTTTTATATTGGTGGAGATACGTAGACGACGTACTGGTATATTTCACAGGAACTAACAGGAAACAGAGCAATTTTTATCGTATATTAATTCACTTCTTAGTCATATTGAATTTACAATAGAAACAGAACAAAATGAATCCATACATTTTTTAGATTTAAAAATTATCAAACTTAAAAACAAACATCACTTCTCCATATTTCATAACCCTACCCATACTGACACGACTATACACAATTCATCATCCCATCCCACACAACATAAACTGGTAGCCTATCATAGTATGTTACATAGATTAACAGAAATTCCGATGTCAAAATACAACTTTGAGACAGAATTAAATATCATTAAGCAAATAGCAGTAAACAATGGATACATTGAACAAACAATTAATAAAATTTTAAATTAAAACCAACACAAGAGAGCCCTGAAATTAGTAGTTCCACCACCCTAGAAAAAACCCAGTACTTTCCGCTCGATTACATATACAGGCAAAATATCAACAAAAAAAAGCCAAATACATAAAAAATAAAGGAATAACACTAGCTTTCAGAACAAATAAAAACTTAAACAAATATGTCAAAAACAACAAGAGCCAAAATAAAAAGCACTTACACAGAGGTGTGTACAAACTTAAATGTGGTGACTGCCAAAACTAACATCGGTCAAACTGGTAGAACACAGAACGAGAATGAAGTTTGTGAAAGTCCATCGCCTTTACCGCAAATATCTATTGCAGAAACAGTTCTTCTGACGATGAAGTTGATTTTGAGACACTTCACCAGCGGCGCAAACCATTATCAGATAGCGATAATGATTAAAAATGTAAATGTAAAACTAATTTAAAAATGTATATATTACTTTCCCACAAAATAAAATTAAGTTAAAATTAATAAAGAAAAAGTAGATGGTAAAAGAACTTGAGGAAGATCGCCACTACGACGTTTTACAAACGGTAAGCAAACCACTGCACAAACAAATATAATATAACTTGATAAATAACGTTATTTCAACATATTTGAACGTTTGCGTTTGGTTTGGTTCAGTGGTGCACCCAGGGGGTAGGGGGTTTTGGGGTTAAAACCCCTCACCAGGACCCCATTCCAACACTGTTACTGTTGGAATAAATTTTAAGGACTCAAAATGGAGGTAGCATCATAAAAAAATTTCGGTGCCCAACCAAAACTCCCCTAGACCAAAATTCTGGGTGCGCTACCGGTTTGGTTCATATAACAATGACACATGCTTTGACATATTATCTATAAGGCATTGACCATGGCCTGGAATCATCGAGTTAGATGACGTGACTAAAAACGACCTAACTTCGGCCCATTGAGTTAGAATCTATGGAGAGGGCATCACGTGACTAAAAACGACCTAACTTCGGCCATATTGGTATTATTATTTTGAAACTTTTGACAGATCTTGTATGTTTGGTTATATTTGTTGTTTTTCGAATATTTTCAGTTTTATAATAATTTTATAGAAACTGTAATATATTGTGATAGTGCATAATAATGGTTTCTTGTTCTCAACGTAGTTGCAGTAGCAGAAGTAATGTTAATAAAATATTTTATATGATGATATTTCAACGCTTCATTCAATTATAACCGCTGATTTACTTATAATCAAGGCTTGGTCAGACTCCAACTTACTTAGCTTTAACGTGGATAAGACTGTAGCATTATCTTATAAAAGTCATACAACCCTTGCTTTTCAATGAGAGCCAAATCAATATCGTAAATTCCGTGAAATTTCTAGGTATTCTCATTGACAGTGATCTCAAATGGTCCTTGCATACTGACTTCTTAAGGAAGAAACTAGCCTCAGCTTGCTTTGCAATAAGATCTGTTTCGAAGGAACTAAATTTATCTTCTACCAAAATGGCATATTTCTCATTGTTCGAGTCCCATCTTCGATATGGGCTTCCATTTGGGGGTTCTAGTACAGCGGCCCAATTTGATACTATTTTTAAGTTGCAAAAAAGAGCAATCCGTTATCTATTTGGTCTCAAACAAACAACTCATTGCAAGACCTACTTAAAAAATCACGGAATTTTGACGCTTCCCTCTTTATTTATTTTGGAAACGGTTTGTTTGATTCGAAAGCATCTAAACATTTTTCCCGATAGACCTGACCATGGCTACTTCATTAGAAATTCGGAGTGTAACGTTTATTTGCCGATCCCGTCCACTCAGCTAGTAAAGAATTCTATTCTATATCGTGCAAAGAAACTTTATAATCACCTTCCAAGAGAAATTAAATCCGCAACATCCTTCATTAAGTTTCGTAAGGTGACAAAAATCTATCTCTCAGAAAGACCATATTATTCACAAAATTAGTATTGTTTATAATTACATTTGGGTGTCTCAAGCAGTGGCTACAATTTGTCTCATTTGTTGTTGTCTGTACAAATTATGTGGGTTATACAATAATTTTACTAATTTAAAATTGTGTTATTCTGTTTTTTACTAAATTTGTTTTTGTTTTATACTTTTTGTACTATTTGACTGATTTATTTTTTAGCTTTGTCCATAAAATTGTTCAATAATTTTCAGTGACAATAAAGCATATTTCTATTCTATTCTATTCTAAAAAATCTTCAGGAATATCGTTCCACAGGTTAGTATACAAATATGTAAACAAAGTAATGGCCCGTACTTCAGAGAATAAATTAATACTATTTGACTGTATTAACTTATCTTTATATATAATATATCGTGTTTTTAGTGTTTACCGCGGGATAAATAAATCATAGTTTATTAAAAATGTATTGCACTTTTTAGATTATGATTAAATCTTCTGAATAACTAGTCATATTTGTATAGTAGTTTTATTATTATTGAGTCTGGCCCTGATGACACCGCCATATTGGTATTATAGTTAGCCACTCCTACCTATGCCGTTTTTAATACATACGTTAATATGCTCTTAGCTTCTCCATAGATTCTAACTCGATGCCTGGAATCTTATATGAATGACTTGGTTCATTCCCCCATCACTTTAACCCAGATAGAAATGATAGCCTATCTCTCTCACGAAGACTTTATCCAATCATAAACCAAATAAAATAATCCAACAAAGCAATGTTTATTATGTCAAAAGTAATGACAGATCCTCCGTTTGTTTATAAGTTTTCTATTTTATTTTATTATCTTTAACTTTCGTTTGCATTTATTCTTAGTAATTTTAATTTAAGTTGGTTACTTAGTTTTTATAGTTTAGTTTGAGTTACCCATTGTAGCAAAGAATTTTTGTGTTGTGCTAGTAAAAAAAAACTAAACATGGTGAATTATTGTATTGTTCCGTTTTGTACAAATCATGGAAAAATTACAAAAAGGATGATGATAGTAAGTTGCCAGGAAGCAAAAAAAAATAATAGTATTTAACTTCTGAAAATATGTGTAATATATATTATGTAATTAGTTTATTACGTGTATCTAGCAAAAATTGTGCATCTTTTATATATCCCTATTTTCCAGTAAATTTTAATTAGTAACGAAATAGCCCGCAAGAGGCGCTAAAGGGTATATATATATATATATATATATATATATATATATATATATATATATATATATATATATATATATATATATATAAGGAGGTCCATTCGAATTTACCGCCAAAAGATGATTAGTATTGACCCCAGCCGCAAGAGGTCCTAATGAACGAAATTTATACATTGAGTTGCTTATCTATTTCTACTATTATATTATTTATCTATGGCATTGACCTAACATTGTTATCAAAAAGAAAGATAATTTTAAAAACGAATATAAGATAAACATAATGATAAGATTTAAAAACTGCATGTATCAGTTATTAAGAGTGTAAATGAATCGATCTCGATACAGATATACGAATAGATATCTGATATAATTAAATATTGCACTGGCGGTCAAGTGTTTCAAAAAACGTATATTTTTTCACGTACTGCCAAATTAAAACTAATTTTTTCTGGGTCAAATGCATATAAACGTTTAAAATTATACAGTAACATAAAGTATCTTACGTTTTCTTCTATTGGAATTTCCTCTATTTCTGTTATAGACTCCTCTGCCTTTACTATTTCAATATTTACAATGACAGAATCTGGATCTTGTAGTTTTTGTTTAACAGTTTCAATGGTTAAGTGAGTACTATTTAGCCGTTGTTCACTGCTTGTATTTTTCTGAGGGCATGTAAAGAAAAAGTTTTTATTGCTGCTAACAATCCTCAAGAAATAGTTAAAGGTATCAGATTTTTCGGTGACATTCATATGTTCAATGGAACAGGAAAATACACCTTTCCGGGCATCAACTTCTTTTTTAACATTAAATATTTCATTACCATGCGAAAGAAGTAAACATTCTTCTAGAGAGTAAACAAAATTAATTTCAAAGCTAGGTTCTTTCAGTAACAGATTTGCATGTTGACTGGAGAAATGCTCTACTATGTCAGTACGAAGTCCTTTCCAAGTGCAATTGGAATAATTTTTAGATGGACAATCAAATCTTCTGAATTCGCAGTAAAGTTCATGGTACTCGAGTTGAGCCGGCACGAGATTATCTTTACAACCAGATTCACTATGTCTACATGGAAATGGAAAAAACTGAGCTATACTTTCATAAGCTTCATCTCGTACAAACTTATCGTCTTCTACCACTTTACATCTACCGCATACGGCGCCAGTACCATCATCTTTTGTGTAGATTGGAAATACCGAAAGAAAATTGTGACATCTAATACACACAAGTGTTTTCAATACATCAGCTGGTATAGGCAAGCTTGACGTCATGGTTACCTAAAACACAAAATAAATTATAACTAAATATATTAGGTACTTACATAGGGGAAGGACGGGGAAGATGGCGCAGCGTCTAAGATGACGCACCTCTGTATTTTATCAAGTACTTCACTAAATTCAGTTTTTATACCCGTGGCGCCCTCCTTTAGAAACTACTATTACTTTAAAACTTCATCGGTCAGCTTTCGTACTGTTTAGTATCTGTGAGGCAGAGTAACGCGATACACGTTGATTTCTTGTTATTTTTGACACTGCGAATATTAATGGTAAGTTGTTTAAAAATGGTTCCATTGGATTTTCTTCATATTCATGGGAGTAGGTGATATTTATTTTCAGTTAGCGAGGATTTATCTGTTAAATATTTGATGATGGATAATTTTAATAACCATTTTTTGTAGGTTATGCTGAACAGGCTAAGTTGACGCAGACTGCGTCATCTTTGCTGTTATAGTGCGTCATCTTTGCCTTTTCAGTTCGTTACCTTAAATAACAATGGAGTATAGAATATTTATTATTTAGTGTCTATTTTGCATTTTGAGGCATCTTTTTCTTTTTTAGAAATGGGAAAATATATACGAAAAACTCAGAGAGGATCATTTTCTGCAGCAGCTCTTAATGCAGCATTGAATGCAATTTGTAGAGATGGTCGTAAAATTCGGGAAGTGGCAAGGGCATTTTCAATACCAGAAGCTACATTGAGGAGAAAACTTAAGGTTAAAAATTTATTAAAGGAAGTCAAATCAGAGTCTCTTGGTAGAGCCCCATTGTTTTCGGCACATCATGAAAAGGAGATACTAGATCATGTTCTCAAGCTGGCCAATTTATTTTTTGGTATCACTTGCATAGAGCTGAGAACCATGGCATTTGTTTATGCAGAACGCAATGAAATTAAACACAATTTTAATAAGAATAAACAAATGGCTGGAAAAGAGTGGTATCTAGGATTTATAAAACGAAATCCTCAAATTTCCTTGAGAAAGCCAGAAGCTACAAGCATTAATAGAATAACAGCCTTCAATAACATAGAAGTAGACCGCTTTTTTAAAAATTTGGAAACAGTGCAAGAAAAATATAAATTTCTGCCAGATCGCATTTACAATGTTGATGAAACCGGTATATCTACGGTTCCTAAAGAATCATGTAAAAGACTTGGACCCAAAGGAGTAAAGCACTTTGGAATCATTTCTTCGTGGGAACGAGGGAAGAATATCACGGTAATAATGGCGTTCAGTGCCTTTGGTAACTACATACCTCCATTATTTATATTTCCCAGGAAGAGGATGAGCCCACAGCTTCAGAAAAATGGGCCAAGCGGTGCGATTTACAACTGCACGGATAATGGATGGAGTAATACATCTATGTTTTTATTATGGCTGAAGCATTTCCAAAAAAAAAGTCCTGTCTAGTCCAGATAATCCCGTGCTGTTAGTATTAGATAATCACTCGAGCCATATTTCACTGGATATTTATAATTACTGCAAAGAGAATGGGATTATAATGGTTAGTATTCCACCCCACACATCCCACAAATTACAACCTCTTGATGTGTCATTTTTTTCTGCATTAAAATATGCGTATGGTCGCCATTGCAATTCCTTTCTAAAATCTAAGATCAGCAACTCAGAGTTTGAAGATAAAATTACTCCATATGATGTCGCCGAGATTTTTAACTTAGCATATGATCAGGTGGCAAATATTGATAAGGCCGTTTCTGGTTTCGGAACGTGCGGAATTTTTCCGTTAAACTCTGATAAGTTCACAGAATATGACTTTTTTCCTGCTGATAATTTAAACAATGTTAGCTTGGATAGAGATGTTTCTCCTGAACCTGCACCTCAGGGAACACCTCCACTAATAACAACACCATCTATAAGAGAACCAGAATTACCACGTCCATTAACCAGCCGACAGTCTCCTGAAAGTCGTCACACAACCCCCACAAAACAAAATGAAATAACCAAACGTCCGCATATTTCTCTTTCACTTATTTCTCCAGTTCCTTTGCCCAATAAAAAAATTAAAAGAAAATATGGACGACAAAAGCAACATTCTGAAATTCTAACAAGCACCCCTTTAAAAGAATTCTTAGAAGAAAAAGAGAATAAAAAAAAAAGAAAAACTGGCGAAGTCGGAAGAAGGAAAGAAAAAAGTAACCAGACAAGTATTGGTTAATGATGCAGGATTAAAACTAAATAAAAATAAAGGGAAAGCCAAAGTACAAAAAATAATCAAACAAAAAATAAACAAAAAAATCTTGGAGGATAGCGATACTGAAGAAAGCGATTTTGATGAAGAAGGTCTTTGCAATGACGATGAGTTGGATGACATAATCAACGAGGGAGGTGAAACTGATATCTGCACATTATGTGGAGACTTCGGCAAAAAGACGGAAACATGGTTCAGATGCACAAGTTGTTTTTCCCTCGGTGGAAGGTAAGATGGCGCAAAAGCGTTTTTTAAAAAAGCCGCATAAAAAATACTTCCTTTTATTGAATTTAAAAATAATCCTAGAAATTGGTTATAGAAATGTCCAAATTACAGGCTCGTAGCATTCAAAGTTAGCTTAAACATTTTTTACCCTTAAATAAAATGTATTTTGCTTAGGTGTGTCATCTTCGACGTCCTTCCCCTACTAAATATTTATTACACAGCATGAACGTCATAAAAGAAGAAATCTCGGATAGCATGTAAATTAAGAAACAGGAAAGACCTAGTATAGAATTAATTAAGTCACGCGTCGTAACTGATCAAAAGTAGCCGGAATTACGTGTCAATCATGAATTCTCGGAAATTTTGAATTGAATTTGAATGTTTTTTTCTTGCTGGTCACATTATAACATTAAAATATTATATTTCTGCTTATAATAAAAATGATAACTTAAACCCGGGGAAGTGTGATTGTGGGGCAGGTGTGACTATACTATATAACATTGTCTACAATATAGGGACGCCAGCGGCAGCTTGCGAGTAGAAACTTAAGTTCTTGAAACAGGGATATATGCAAATACGCAGTTTATAGAACACAAGTAATTACGACCGTTGGCGTATATTAATACGAATTAACTTGTTGATGTTAGTGTGCAGACCATCGAGCAAAAAGACAAAAGAGGGAATGTAAAGGTAGTGGGGGCAAAAATATTGTAAGACAAGATTAGAGGCCACATTAAACAAGGAAAGAGAGTCTCTCTCCTTGTTTGACATCAAATTTAGTTGGGTTATGTTATTGTTTGTCCCAAATGTCACATGAAATCTTATTTATATTAAAGTTTTTTAACAATTGTGTCGCATTTTAGACTATTATCGTTAATCATTAATTAAGACTTTCTCGTCTAAGACACATTCTGAAAAATATTATATAGCTACTGTTAATAAGTGTCGAAAAATTTAAATTTGGAGCATTCGCATTTCCGGATATGTCCGCCATCAGAGGCCACTTTTTTGGTCTCCTTTTCATAAGGATTAGATTTCCTCTTTTGTCTTTTTGCTCGATGGTGCAGACCTTGTTTACAAATTTTGTAGGAAGCGAGTATTAGGTGGTAAGTAAATATTTTATGGTCTGCAGGATTGTTTAACAACTATATTACGTTTTATGTATTAAAAAAATTGCCAATTTAAATTTTTAACTGAATTATGACTTAGGTCACACTTCCCTCGTTTATATTGCATACTGGGGTAAATGTGACCAAGTGTACTGGCTCAACTGTGAACTTGCAAAACTTTGAATTTTTAATTTTAGATTGAACATGGTGAGACAAATATACCCAAGATGATTTAAATCACGCAGTGTCAGAAATAAAAAGAGGGGTTTGTTCGATATACCGGGCACATAAATTGTATAATATTCCTAAAACAACATTATTCTACCATGTGACTGGTGCTCGAGGAGTTAAAAGCAAATCGCAAGGGGAGGCTCCAGCGATTCCACTTCAAGATGAGACTAGATTGGCCCAAGGACTAAAAACTATGGAGAAGTGGGTATTTGTAATATCCAAATTGGAACTACTAGAGATTGTTCGCGAATTTGTTACCAAAAATGGCATAAAAACTCCATTTAAGGGTAATACTCCTGGGAATGAGTGGTTCGGGAGTTTTAAAAGACGTCACCAACTTAGCATAAAAAAACCCCAAGCTGAGGAGTACTAAAGAAAAAAATGACAGTTCCTTTCATCATTCAAGAATATTTTGATATTCTCAAAAAAAGTTTAATTCAGCTAAAATTCGGGGACAAGCCGCAACTCGTGTGGAATATGGACGAAACATCCATTTCTCACGACCCCAAAAAAACCAAAGTCGTGGGAGCTAAAGGTAAACCAAGTTCCAGAACTACTTCCGGTGCAGGAAAAGAAAACACCACGGTTCTTTCAGCAGTGTCTGCATCACGGACGAAGGCACCACCACCAATCATATTCAAGGGAAAAAATATTTGGGATTCCTGGCTACCCGATAACAAGAACCTGGAAACAGCCCCAATGGATGGATGGAGAGTGACGTATTTTTTAAATTAATTTAAAAAAAAGTTTATTCCCGCATTAGGAGAAAATAGGCCGGTACTGTTGATATATGACGGTCATAATACTCATAGTATTGAATTAGTTGAATTAGCACGACATAACGATATCACAACCATCAAACTTTTTCCTCATACCAGCCACCCTCTGCAGCCTTTGGATTTAGCCATATTTATGTCTCTAAAAGACGCTTGGGACCAACAACTCGTAACATGGCACAGACATAATACTGGCCTTAAAATTAAAAAAAAAAGTTTTAAAAACGGGTTTAGAATAGCTGGTATATATCCATTTAACCGTTATGTCACACCAGAGGAAAAATCTGAAAGCCTAAAAAGAAGGAAAGAACAAAAGAGTTTAAAAGACCAAACAATAGTTGTAGTTGAAACCGTAAATACTAATATGGATGCTATTACCGCCGGCAATATTGATCACTCGGTAAATAATGACCAGATTGTGGAAAATCATGCAACCAATATTTCTGATGCA